CATTTTGGCCATAATGCCGAATTTCTGTGAGGGTTCTGATCTTCCGTCTCTTCAGTCACGTGACTGCAAGGCCCCGAAGTTGTAGTTATTTCTTCGAGCAGACTTCACTTACTAAGAACGTCTTCACTTGATTTGCAAAACTTTTTTATCTCCTTCATCCCCACGATTCATTTTTCTCTTGTTAACGATAGGTTCTTGATCCAGGAGTCTCCTTTTTGCTGGTCTTGCTCCATTCTTGTTTTACCCATACATTTCTGTTTGCAGGCGCCGCTTGCTATGCATTAAACTCCTGAACAATCCTATTTGTCCACCCTTTCATGTTGCGTGAGTAGGCTTGTGAAGACTGTTGTTTTTTCTTTCATCGTCACTTGACTATTCCATCTTCTCAATATTAACGGCAGTTTTAGGGCTAGTCCGCTGGAAGGGAGGCATATACACTTTTGTGATTCTCTCTCTGCCCTTACTGCTTCTTCATAGTCCTCGGTCTACCATCGGCTTTTCACGGTCCGTATGTTTTTTTGCATTACTTCGCTTGAGTAACCGTTGCCAAGAGATATCCCAATCAATGTGTCCAATTTCTCATTCCAGCATATCGCATCCGTTAATCGTAGGCTTCTGATGAGCATGTTCTTCAGTATTCCTTTCTTTAGATACGAACAGTAACTGGGTTTTGATGAATCTACTGAGATAACATTGTTGGGGAGACCTTCATTTCGTTCGAAAGTGCATGAAGAAAAGATTCGTAGGTTGATCTAATCAGATGAAGATGGTTGAATCCCGCTGTACTGCAACCATTTGGCTTTAATACGATGTTCGGTTTGAAGCAGTACACGAGACCTCCTTCTTCGTTTCGGGAGAAAACGGACTGAACTTTCGTCCATCATTTGATGGACGTCATCAGAGCTGGAACTCATTCTTGCAAAAGTCTCATGTTAATGCAGTCTTTTTCGATCACTCTGATTTAGGACCGATGTTGCGTATAGCCGTTCACACACACATACACACACACTCGAGCAAAAGTAGCAGAACCATTATGAAAGATGATTAGCTAAACCGTCATATAGCCATATATGACTATTCACTTTCGTTTTAGTTATGAGTACATAAAAGGGGTAAGATAAAGCCGAATAGTCTTCTTGACCGTATGAAGACACGGTGGTCGTGACGCCCAATAGAAGTGTGACCCACCTCAGTAACGCTAAACATCTCACTCTTCAGATCCATCACAGGACCCTGGCCTGGTCCTGCACCTCCTCCTCGATTTACCACCGACCTCGACTCTGCGCCGCCTCTTTTGCCTCCAGATTTTGTAGATGGTTCACGCAAGTAGTCCATTGCCTTCATGTGTTCCCACTTCACCATTTCGCGCTCCTTTTTAACGTCTGTAAAACTGACGCCTTTGATCAGTATGAGTTGTGTTACGTTGTGTAATATAAAAAACATTTAATCCATCATTAAGTCAAATAGTAAAGAAATGTGTGACGGATGAGTGAAATTGATGTGTCAATATATGAATTAGAGGATTGTCCTGGTTCATCTATAAGCATAAAATTAACTTCATATCACAAAGCTAGAAAGGGATTACGGTAAGAGCAGAAAACGATTTATCACGAAAATGAAACAATATATGCAATATGCGCTATAAATATTAATGGTTGTGCAACATAGTCATAACAATTAAGTCTTATTCAAGGTCAGAAGAGAGCATCTTTTTATAACAGTAATTTTATCAAATATCTAAATGAAATTAAGTGTGGTGTGATAGCCATAATAGTGAAAATTTTACATGGTTGCATTGTTTTTTACATTTTGGTAACTGAGTCCTATTCTGTAGGGACCGGAGTCAAAAACTAGTGTTGAAACATATACTATTCATATAATCCATCAAAATTTTGCGTTGCTTAACCTGCCTAAAATGATGTTCTTATAAGGCGGCATTAGCAAAAATTCCGAGAATCACACAGTTCTAAAAGTATTTTTCAGAGAAGTGCGTACAGTTAAGAACCTAGGTTCTCCTATCGATATACCAGGCATATACGAGGCATAAGAGACTGTAGGGGAATATATGTTCCCCATAACAGGTTAACTAATGTCGAACTCGAACCTTATAATATGCTTTAAGCTTGCTAAAAGAAATGTAAGTCATATCGCCCACATAAAGCTCTACTTGAAGAAATAGGATATCGAAATGAAAAATGGACTTAAAGTATCAGAAAACATAAGAAATCAGTAGAAAAGATGGCAACGGGCATCTGGAACTTAGCGTAAATAATC